TTGCTGAGCCTGTCACTGGGGAGGGGGGGTGCTTGCCTCTGAGAGGCGCCGCAGCCTAATTAGAGCCTTAATAAGCTCTTGATGATTCGGGGCCTGATTGCGCTGGTCTCACAAAAGGGTCCCTGAAATGGGGATTTAAACAAAGAAACCGTCACCCCCAAGTCGGGGGGGGGGGGGGGGGGGGGGCGAGTTTGAGCCGGGCTTAGCGGGGGGAACACGATTTAGGGGGACACAGAGGCCCGGAGCTGAGCCGGACTTAGGGGGATGATGCTAAAATGGACTTAGGGGGTACACGGGCCCGGGACTGAGACGGACTTATAGGGGACACAAGCCCGGTACCGGTGCGGTCCAGGGGATGGAAGAGGGGGGAGATACAGGACTGCCACCCCTTCCCCATCCTTCCGGGGCAACTACCCTCAGCAAACAGAGCGAGGAGGATAACTGGAGTAAATCAGGTAGTTTGATGTTCTTGTGTTTAAAATTAAAAGCCCAACAACATGAAACTACCTAATTCACCGAGCAGTTCTAGCGAAGCCCTGGGTCAAAGGCTAACCCCCACAGCCCCCCCCCAAAGGCGCCGGGCGGCCATTTTGTCCGGCATCAGCCCCAACCTGAACTTCTGCAATAGCGAACAGTTGCTTGGAGACAAAAGCGACAAAAGGACCTTTTCAGAGACGAAATAAAACCCCTCGGACTGCGCGGAGCAAACTATTCATCTGATTTCCTATGTACAGTGTCTGGAGCGGATCCCTCCTGCAGGACTTTACAAATAGTTTACAAATAGACCAGAGGAAACAGTAAAATGCTATTGACTTTGAGAAACAAGCGATTATCGCAGCTATAAAAAAGAGCAAAAAATCCCTAAAGTTCTCCCTCCACCTCCTTGGAAAGCTAATTTAAAGGATCGTTTCCAATATGAAGCTGATTTATCAAGACGTTGTATTAAACCACTATTATCAGATTCTTTTTCCCCCCATCTAAACCTGCCAGTGTCTGAATAACTTTCCGCAGGGAATAGAGTTAAATCAGTGAGTTCTCGGAATAAAAGCAATGAATTCATATTCTCCTCCCCTGAAAGCAAGTATAACGTGAGTCATTTAAAGGTAAAAAAATTTAAAAGGGCGTGGGAGGGAATCAAGAACATATAAATCAATTAAAGCAAGAGAAAAAAGCGTCATTGTGACTATTTCATAGGTGTAAATAGCGACACAGAGAAACTTACTGTGTCCTTTCCTCCCTCCAAGGCGCTCACGTTATAAAATAATGACTCGATGGCTATAAAAAGCAGAATTAAAGCTGAGGAGAGGGGCCGGGCCTCGGGGACTTCACTGAGCTCCGAGTAACTTCCGCGGGGGGGGGGGGGGGGGGGGGGGGGAGAAGTTTGGCAGGAAAAAGTCCAGAATTCCTATTTAGGGAAAAAAAAATATGAAAAATAAAAAAGGACGGGAGCTCCCCAGCCCATCGGATCATTTATGTATATAACATAAAGTCAATGTCTTATCTTGTAAACTGGGGGGGGTGGGGGGGGGGTTATCCTTACGTGGATTAAAGAATTACACAGGGTGAGCAAGAGGAAGGATGAAGTCTGGAGGACAAGAGGCCGAGACAGCCCCGGCCCGAAAGGGTGAGTTTAGAGGAGTTTAAAAGTTCATTGAAGGAACACATCCTCCGAGTCCAAGGGATGCCCGGAGGAGCCAGAAACGCGACTGTAAGTTAACTTCATACGGTTTGAAAAGCCTTAAGAGCCGGGATGGGACGCTATATAAATCTATTGGACCGGAAACACAAAAAACTTAGCCACGTTGTTGAACTTCAAACACTTTACGCCAGGTCGGGAGGGGCGGAATCCGAAAACAAACAAACCAACCGACCCATCGAGAACCTGCCCCCCAAACCGTCACTGGAAGGAGAATAGGGAGGGGGGGGATTTTGGGGGGAATATTGCCAGCCTGGGGAGGTTGTGGTTTTATTTTGGGTGAGTTAGGGCTCTCTCAATGCGCAATCGTCTGATTCCGCACCTTTGTTACAGGAGGTAAGTCGAAATTAATATACATTTTCCCATTATCCCCCCCAGTTCCTCATCTCTCTCCTTTTTGATGCACAAATATTGGCAGGTTCAAGTTTAAATCAAGCCTGCAAAGGGAAAGAACTGAAAGTTTGCTATAAAACTTCAATTAGGTTTACACATGAGGGACCTATAGTATTATAATACCTCTAGTAAGTATATGTGATGCGTGTTTGCACGCAGGCATACCTACACCCTGCTGTACTTACATGCACCACTCCTATAATAACTCAAATTGGTCGAATAATAGTTTTAATTTTATTTGACAAATAATAGTTTTTATTGGTTGATATTTTCTCTTTCCTACAAAGAAGATTAAAAAAGCCTCCAGCCCCACGGCTTCACTTCTTATACCAATGCAATTTGTAAAACAAAAGTGGTGGTCACACTTGAACTCGTCCTACTAAAAGCTCTTTCTTTCAGACAAAACAGGCAGGAGGAATATATTTTAGCAGAGCTTTCAATGCTGCAACTTGGAAATGGAGTCTCCCCCCGCCCCTAAATTGCAGGCTGAAAACATAAATAAAGCAAAGCACTCAAGATAAGGGTGAAAAACAAAACTGCATGTGCCATTTAATTTCACGATTAGGTGCAAAATAAATAACGGGGGGGGGGGAGGAGAGAAACAAGAAAAAGAATCCCAAATCTAAGTAGGTGATGTATGAGGTTTAATTCTTAGGCTGGAATAACATTTTAAGGTAATGGAATGCATTTTTTTCCCCTTCTGGCTGTTGCTAAAGTTTTAAAAGACATTTTAAATTCAGACATCAAAGACAAGTTGGAGCTCTTAGACAGCAAATGGATGTCCTGGCTATAAGATAACTTCTGCTTGTCAGGGGAATAAGTACTAAAATAATTAATAGGCTGGGATGGGCTGGATTTCAAGTGTTTGCGTGAGCATTTATCAGTAAATGTATATATGTGTGCATATCCATTACGCGCACGCACGTACATAATAGAAGAATCTATTACAGATCATCCAAGGGAAATGGCACTGAATCTCAGGATCTCATTACGGGTTTCTTTGTGACTTACTTAGATCTTCACAAAGAAGTATTTTTATTAAAATATGGTTATAGCAGCTGGTTTGCACAGCTCCCATTCATCAGCATTAGCCTTTGGGAGTATTTGGTGTCTGCTCCTTAGGAGCCAGGCGGATGTTCCCAAACAGAATATGTTACAAACGGGAGGTGCCTGTCGCATTTATAGGGGGAAAAAAAGGAGATTAAAAAGTTGGCCTTAAGCCCTCCTCCTGCCCCGCTTTCCCCCCTTCGCACGGCTCTGCCTGCGAGTGGGAAACAGCTCGGCGTGGGCTTTTCCTCTCTTTCTTCCAGCTCTCCATCATGAAAGGACAGAGCAGCCACACACACAGAACTGCGCCGTGATACTGCAAAGAGATGTGTGTGTATGTACATATTTTACGCTAACGCTTGAATCATTGCAGCTCCGGTAATAACAGTAACTTTAAACAGAGGAATAAATGAATAAATGCAGCTCCCCCGGCTGCCGGGGCTGCATGCCAGGGCTCCGGGAGGAGCGGGCTGAGCCTCGCTGAGCTGCTCCAGCCCCGGCGGCGGCCGGACCCGTGGCCTCGGGGCGGCGCTCGCTGGCCGGGCTGGGCTGGGTCCAGGGCGCTGGAGGCCCGGCCACGCTCCTCAGGGTCCCTGCCAGCTCGGGGGGGGCTTTGCTTCCTCTGCCAAGGAGAAATAAACGTTTTTACCTTTTTTTTTTCCTTTTTCCTATCCTTTTTATTTGTTTATTTTTAAATAAAAATTAAATTTTCTGCCTTAAGACGCATTAAAAAAAAAAAAACAAACAAAACCAAACCAACACAAAAGCCTCCAACCAACAAACAAAACCAAGCGAAAAACCTCCACCAAAACAAGCAATAAGACCCACAAAAACACCAAAACAAACAAAAGACCCCCATAAAAGCCCCAAACAACAAAACCCAACAGCCAAATCGCATTTCTCTGAAGCCCCGTAGAGCTCTTATGACCCACGCAGAGAGTTTTGCTACGCCAAATTCCGGGGGGCGTAAAAGGTGGGAGGCTCAGGGGTGCCCCGGTCCCAGTGGGGGTGCCCGGGGGTCCCGGCAATGACGGGCGCGGAGGAAGGTGACGGAGCCGAGGGTCGGGGGGAGCCCCGAGCTGCGGGTCCCCCCACTGGGGTGAAGCGGAACCCAGCAGGGCGGCATCGCCCCGGCTACTTGTTGCTGCGTTAAGTTTTTCTCCGAGGGAAGGGAGACACGAGTGAAGTGAAATGGGGCCCTTTGGAGACCCCAGCCCGGCCTCACTCACCCCATCGGGGCCGGGCTGCGGGATTTGCTTTTCCATCTTGGGGTTTTTCCTTCCCTAGCCCTCGGAACCTCGAAACGCTCCTCCCGTAGCCGGGGAGAGCCTGAGCCCCTGGTTTTATACATGAAACCCGAAATCAAATTGGGTCATTAGACCAGGCAGGGAAACCCAAGGAATGACCCACGCTTGTCCTGGGAGCCCCTCTTCCCCTTCTCACCCATACCCAGAACCCGAGGAATTGAGGGAAAGCAAATTCTGCAAAGCACCGGGTTTAAAAACAGAATCCAGGTAAAAAACCCACCAACAATGTCCCCCTCGCTGCGGCAATTAACCCGAAAACTCCAATTAATGGAAAAAATCTAATTAGCCGGAGGGAAAAGGCGACTGCAGGAGCCTCCCTTCTCTCCGTACTCCCCGTTTCTCAACAGGGCGAAAGAAACCCCGACGGTGCGAGGAAACCAGAAGAAAAGACAGCGGAGAAGGCAGCAAAGAGGCCCGTAAGCATCTTCTCCCCGCACCCGACTTTAATTTGGGGTATCCGGAGGTGCCGAGGGGGTCTTTGCAGGCTCAGGGCTGAGCTCAGCTCGGCCGCGGGGTCCAGGACCCACAAACCTGGGAACGGGGAAGAGCGGCTTCACTTGTAGGGTGAAATATTAGTTAGTCTTCAGACATGCGGTAGAGTTTTGGAGTTGGTCAAATGAAGCTTCCTTTAATCAGCAAAAGAGGCTTTGGGAGGAGCGGTTGGTTGCTAAGCCTTAAAAAGTCATTTTTACAGGTACAGAAGAGTCAGAAACCTTACGTTGGCTGTCATTAAATAAAATAAATGAGTAAAATTTGTTCGAGAAGCCTACGGGGAGATAAATCGCTCGAACGAGCACATTCAACTTTCCTGAATTAAGCCAAGACCATTACAGATCCCGCAACTAGTGCGAGGATTCATTTTGCCCCACGTATTCTCATGGTAGCAAAACATTGCTAAAAATCTTCGGTTTAATAATTTTCAGGATAGTTTTTGTTTCTTTATAGAATTTTTCCCCTTTGCTCTATTTCGGAGTATTCTTAATTACATTTAAAGCTTTTTAAGAGCTTTCCAGAGGGGAAAAAATGGGAGATGAAATGAGACATATTAATAAATATTCGCTTGAAATGATCGACAGGAATATATCCAACATCTTAAATAAATTATTCCATTTGTCCCCGTTCCATACATTCGTTGGGGAATTCGATTAAGCCTGGCTCCCTTCAATTATTTACAGCAGCCCTCTGTCCCGGAGACTTTAATAGGTTTCTTCTCTGGTTTTCAACATTGTTATCAGAAATCCATAAAGCAGGGGAGGGACAGGAAATTAAATGTAAAGGTACCTCATTATGGCACAAGTGCTCTCCCAGCTCTCGCTGCGGACGGACGCGAGTTTACACGGACGGAGAGAAACCCAAAGGAACATGAAAAGGCTGAGCCCCCTCCTCAAGTGGACTTGGCAATCCTGCCGGAATGACCTTCTCGTTTCACGCCTAGGAAGAAGCCTTCCTCCCCATCCCGCAGGGCTCGGAATCAGCAGAGAGGGAGGAAGAAGGAGAAAGGAGAATCCCGCACACGGTAGAGTCATGTAAGTAGAAAGCGTGGGTTGGATTGCTATCACTGAAACTATTTTACTATTACTATATTCCTATTATAGAGGCTGTAATGCGGGGATTTATTCCGTAAGCCTTCGAGCCGAGCAGGATTTCTCTGCGCTGAGCTGGAGCCCAAATCCCCGGGTCCTTGGCGCACGTCGGTGGATTTAATCATATAGAGAAATAAAGAAGTGATGCTAATGATGAAAAGTCGGACCAATGATTACAAAATAGAGTCAAAACTCGCAGCAGAGAAACAGGCTGGTGGAGAAGGGGAATACGAGGAGCGCGGCTTTCCCTCCGATCTGTTTTAAAAGAGAGCTTGAGGGTTTTAGGAAGACGGAGCATGGAATTCTGATGGAAAAAAATGAAGAAGAGGGAAGAAAAGCGAGTCTGCTCGCCCTCCGAAAGGAGCCGGGCTAGCGGTTTGCTACACGGGCGTCGGCAGCTGAAGAAGAGGATAAAGCATCCTCGGGGAAGAAGAGGATAAAGTATTCTCGGGAAGCTACATGTGGGAAGTTATAGGGAATCGACACGTTAGGAAAACGCCTCCCGCGAGGCCGAGCCCAGCGCTCACTTACCTGCCCGTGCCTCTCCTCTCTGTCTTCCTTCCCTTCCTCTTAACCACACCAGGGAAATAAATAAATCACGGCAGCGCCTCTCCTCCGCAGAGGAATCCTTCCACCACTTGTTAGAGCCCAGCCCCAGCTCCGGCTGATTTGATTTTTAAATGATTACTATTATTAGTTAATCCTAGGCAGTCGTCCCGATTGAACGTTAGGCTTGATTGAAAGCGAGAGCTCTGTAAATTAATTTTTAACCAAAGAGCTATTGTGTTAGCAAAGGGGGGGGAGAAAGAGCCCCAACACCTTCCCTCCCCCTGTCTAGACAAAATCACTGTTTTGACGGCAAATTGCAGGCTGCTTCCCCCTCCTCCCTGGCTCCTGCCTGCTCGCCGCCTTCTGCTAGAAAGCAAGGGGAGGGGAGTTTAATATTTTATTGATTTGGTTCACCCACCTTCGAGGTCTGGTGCAGTTTTAGCATCTTTAGACCTGCCTAAAGATGGAGCTTCCTGCCGCAAGGGAAAAAGGGAAAGAGAAAAAGGGAAAAGGGATAAAGGAACAACACCCCCCCCCACCCCTCCGGACTTTATCTTCTCTTCCCCCCCCACCCCGGTCCATAAGTCTCCAGCACAGGGCCTTCTCCTCACCCCCTCCTTGGCAGTCTGCTCCTCAGCCGGTGCGAGCCCCTTCCGGGTAGGGGAGACCCGAGAGGCACCCCAGAAACAGCGGTGGGTAATGAGTGGGGAGCCGCTCTCCGACGTGACACACACACACCCCCGAGTCGGGAGATGTCGAGGGGGTACCAGGGGGGTTCCAGCCTCGCTGCCCTGGCAGGACCCGCCCCTCCGTGCTATGGGGGGGACCCCAAGCTTGGATTGGGAGGCAGGATTCTCTCTCAGTCCTGGCTGCTGGCTTCTCATTTCTATCCGCAAAGGAGGTGAGCGGGGGACACCCCCTTTGCCCCCCATTTTGCAATAGGGGAGGGCGGAGAGAGAGAAGATGCTGGCGGGGAAGGGGGAGAGCGGCAGCCAGGGAAGGAGCGGGCTGGGGCTTTGCAAAGAAGATATTTTGGGGTTGGGGGTGAGCGGGGGGAGGTCTCTGACGATTGACTTATCTGTTGGAAAAGGCGTCTGCAGGCGTCTCACCAATCCAGGGCGGCCGAGGCTGCTGAGACCATCCCCTGGTGTCAGTTTTAATGGGGAACTTCACCGTTTGCGGGGTGTGTGGGTGTGCAGTTTTTAATGTAAAGACCCGCAGCTCCAGCCGCTTTCCCGTCGCGCACCCCCTCTCCCGTTTCCCGGACGGTTCCCTCACATCTCTATTTCCAGCCGCCCCCATTTTGGGTGTGGGGGGTTATTTTGGGAAAACCCCTTGCAGAGGTGAAGCGGGAGCCTGCGGCTGTGCCAATGCGTGTAAGCCCATCCCAAAACCATCAAGTAGAGGAGAAAGGGGCCTGGGAAGAGCTGACGTCCCGCTCCCCGAGCTGAGCCCGGTGTTCGCAAGCCGAGCTCGAAGCCTTTGCCCCTTGCATCGCACCTTGCCTGCAGGCTGGGCACAGCAAATATTAAAAGCTATATATTAGCTACTGAAGGCCAAATAGCTGCAGGCAGAGCAACTCCTCACCCTCTCGGTGTATTCCTCATGTTCCGACTCAACTAACATTATTCCGACCCTTTTCCAGCAGGAATCCGAGTTCTCGACCGGTGACTGGGGCCGCGAAGGCTTGGGGGGGATCTCCCCACTTTGGGGGTTGTCTGAGGGCATGTCCAGCACAAGGGAAAGCTGGGTTTCCTAGGCTGGATCCAGAAAGAATTTAAACGCAGGATGAAATGCTCTTCCGCACAGGACTATTTAACAATCAACGTGAATTAATCCTGACTCTGTCTTTAAGAAAAAACGATGGTTTGTGGCACAGCCCTCCTCAGGACTGACATCGCAAAGGAGAAAAGGAACCGAACCTCAGCCCCATCGGCAGCTTTCCCATGGATGGATGCACCGTTTCCAGAACGGCTCGGCCTGAAAGCATTGAGAAAAGGGGAGATTCGGTTCTTCGGTAGAATCTATTTACCCAATTTCACCACTTGTAATACACTTTCCCTTCTGGAAATGAGCCTGCGGGGACTGGGTGCTTCTGGAAACCTACTAAAGCATTTAGTAGTTGCATCCGTTTCTATATTCGCGACACAGTCACAAAAAAATACAAAGAATAGGCCGATTTAAATAGGTACTAACGGGCAATAATAATAATAAAATGATAGAAGGAGGAGTGGGGGTTTACAGGTTTTGGAAACCATTAAATATAAACCAAAACCTCACATTGGAAAAAAAAAAAGACCCCAAACCAAACCCAGGCAAACCAACCCCTGCTATAAAACCGCGAGGGAGGAAGAGCGGGGAACATTTCTGAGAGCTCCGAGCCTTGGCGGGTGTTCTCCCCTTTCTTTCCAGCCTCTTCCAGCTCCGGCGCTCCTCCTGCCCGGGACAGCTTGGAGGAACCCGCACTTCTCCGAGCCCCAATCGCGGGTGCTGAAATTGTGGTGTTTCCCCTCATTTCATCTCCTTTCAGCCTCCCATCTGTTCCAACAGGTTCCCCACTCGCTCTCGTAACGGGCCTTTGCCTAATTACAAATGAACCTTTCCTCCTCCATGGTCGGATCCTGCACTGCGGTCTTCGGGGGAGGGAGCGGACACACTTTGCCCTTCAGCCTCCGTCCTTCTCTTCCCCTAGGAACCGCTTTGCGCACTGATCCGAAGCGTAATCCGTGGGTGCTTCCAGCAAGCTGGGGGACAAAACCAGCGTGCGCCTGAGCGGGACCCGTCGTGACCGTCCCCCCACCCTGACCCCCGAGGCCGCGGAGCCGGGGTCCCCTCCGTGCACTTGGCCCCTTGTCGTTACCATCTTCCCATTACCGGGAGCCTTTGGGGAATGGGGAAGGGCAATGGGAAGGATAAACTGGAGCAGGACTTTTAAAGGGAAAATCCAGAACTGTGGTTTCAGGGTATCTCGGCTAAAAGGAGTGAAGATATCTGCTTTTTTTTTAATCTTTATTTCCTAGCCAAAATCTGTTGGAAAAGCAAGAAGAAAAAGGCAGCTGCAACCCGCGGGCTGCGATCCTCGCAGGGAAGAGGACAAGGGACATGATCATCCCCTGGCAAGGACCCTCGGCCCTCAAGAGAGGTTTTCTTATGAAAAACCTCGTCAGTTGACACAGGGACCTCCGAAGGGAGGCTGAGGGGATGCTCGGGATGTTATCACCGCTGAAGGGTCCGGACTGAACACAAGCCGTTAAAGCGAGTAGGGGCTTCGCTCCCTCTTACTCTGGGCCAAATCCTGACAATCGCTCCTGGACTTGATTCCAGCCGAGGTCCCTTCCCCTCCCCACCATAGCGGCCTTTACTAAATTTACTTCGCTTTCGGGTTTTCACACTGAAGCCCCGCCGCTACCATAGTGGGGGTCTCGGGGCGGCGGGTCCGAGGGTGGGGGCACGCAGTGAATTTTGCTACATAATACAAATCCCACGAGAAACAACCCCAAAAGGCTCCCTCTCCAGGTTTGCTGCCGCAGATTTTAACGGGCTTTGCCACCGGTTCGGGAAGCTACCGGCTTCGGTCTAAGCATCCCAGTCCCAGGGAGCAGGGGGCACCCCCGGCAATAGCCTTGTGCCCCCGGTTCATTGAGAAACCTTCACGTAAAAGTCACTTTACATCTCCAGAGCCTGAAAACTACCAGGTAACAACTTTTTACGACGCGAATCCCAGGACAAGTTTTCATTTCATCCCTTAACTCTCCGTCCCTTTCTCCCCTGGCTGCATTTCCCAGCAAATTGACCCCTCTGGGTTTAGTACGAACATAAACGCTCAAACCTTGCAACAGGAGCTGATTCACGACCTTAAACCGCAGGATTTGCTGGCCATCTGGAGCTGAAGTCTGATTTTTGAGCTGGGGGGATTTTTTCTTTAAAAGTCCTTGGGACCCCCATGACGGTGGGGAAAGCCCCTCTGCAGCTCCACTCTCTGCAGGAAGGTGCTGAGGCTGGCTTGTCCCGAAGGGTTTCCTGGCTCTGGGACATCCCAACAGCTCCCACGTAGGCTCAGCTGTCCATGCAGAAAAATCCCCATCCAATTCCAGTGGGAGAAGCTCCTCGGACGTGTTGCTTCTAATTACTTGCTCTTCGGAATCTGAAGCAGGAGCTTGTTGTGGGCAGAAGGAGGTAAAAGAAGAGGAAAGTGGCACTGGAAATCCAGCCAGGGAAAAAGTACAAGAGCAAATCCATGGCTTAACTCCCCTTGAAAGTGGATGGACATGAGCCCTCCTCTCCCTCTTACCCCGCTGGCCCATGTCCGGGAACCTTTGGCTCCTGGGTTTATAGTTCTCCTCTCTGTAGTGTCAGCATTTCATGCCCTTGACAATACAACCTCGCCTTTTCCAGTCCCTCTGAAGATCCGGATCTCAAATAATGCAAAGAAAGAACCCCTCAAAACCTTCAGCTTCAGATTGTTCCAGTGCTCTGGGGGTCGTGTGGGTCTTTAGATAAAGAAATCAAATTAAGAGACCCCAAAATCAAGAGGTGAATCGCAAGAGTGAAACGAGATGGTGGATCCAGCAGCAGAGCTCAGCATCATTTCCCTCTGACAGAGCAAAGGCAAGTTGTGGCACCATCCTGAACTCTTTAGTTTGCATCCATGGGAGATGGGGGCCTTTTAAGGTCTCTTCTCCCTACCCCACCCCCAGAGCCATTACCCCTCATATATTATTTTTACTAAAGTGGTGGGATTTTTTTTGCCTTTCTTGGAGGAGGAGGGATTTGTGCAGCCAGATCCAAGGAATTTGGAGAGAGGGAGAGAGAGATCCCCCTGTTGACTAGAGAGATGTTGTTCTTGGGATTAGAGATGTCTGACCTTGAAGGTCGCAGGTCACGGTCTTGAATAAGGAGCAGGAGTGTGAGGCTGGGATTGAAACTTGAGGTGTGTCTGCTGGAGATCACAGGGAAAAGTCTTCCAAACAAAGAGGAATGCCTCCATTGGGGTGAGAAAGAGCAACTTCCCCAAGAATTATGGGCTCCTTCCGGAGGGTTGCATACCTGCAGACCGCCCAAAGGATGTGCTGCGGCTGAGGGAGGGGAGAAAGGAGTGAAGAAAGGAGGGGAGAAAGGAGGGACAGGATGCCTGGAGCCAGAAGGCCCCATTATTTATTACTATTTGTGTTCTGGGGAGGACTAGGGGCCCCAGTGCTGGCGGCTTTATGAAGATAGGCAGAAAATGGTAGAAAGAGCATCCCACCATTGG